CCCAGGATGGGTTTGGAACCCCCAGGTAGGATGTGGGACCCCCAGGATGGGCTCGGAACCCCCAGGTAGGATGCGGGACACCCAGGATGGGTTTGGAACCCCCAGGTAGGATGTGTGACCCCCAGGACGGGCTTGAAGCCCCCAGGTAGGATGTGGGACCCCCAGGATGGGCTCAGACCCCCCAGGCAGGATGTGGGACCCCCGGGATGGGCTCGAACCCCCCAGGCAGGATGTGTGATCCCCAGGATGGGCTTGGACCCCCCAGGCAGGATTTTGGACCCCCAGGATGGGCTTGGAACCCCCAGGTAGGATGTGGGACCCCCAGGATGGGCTCGGAACCCCCAGGTAGGATGTGGGACCCCAGGATGGGTTTGGAACCCCCAGGTAGGATGTGTGACCCCCAGGACGGGCTTGGACTCCCCAGGCAGGAATTCGGACCCCCAGGATGGGCTTGGAGCCCCCAGGTAGGATGTGGGACCCCCAGGATGGGCCTGGATGCCCCAGATAAGATATGGGACCCCCAGGATGGGTTCGGACCCCCCAGGCAGGATGTGGGACCCCTTGGATGGGCTCAGACCCCCCCAGGCAGGATGTGTGATCCCCAGGACGGGTTTGGACCCCCCAGGTAGGATGTGGGACCCCCAGGATGAGCTTGGACCCTCCAGGCAGGAAATGGGGCCCCCGAGATGGGCTTGGACCCTCAGGTAGAATGTGGGACCCCCAGGATGGGCCTGGACCCCCCAGGTAAGATGTGGGACCCCTTGGGACGGGCCTGGACCCCTCAAGGCAGGATGTGGGACCCCCGGGATGGGCTCAGACCCCCCAGGCAGGATGTGGGACCCCCGGGATGGGCTCAGACCCGCCAGGTAGGATGTGGGAACCCCAGGACGGGTTTGGACCCCCCAGGCAGGATGTGGGACTCCCGGGATGGGCTCAGACCCTCCAGGCAGGATATGGGGCCCCCGAGACAGGCTTGGAACCCCCAGGCAGGATGTGGGACCCCTGGGATGGGCTTGGGCCCCCAAGGCAAAATGTAGGACCCCCAGGATGGGTTTGGACCCCCAAGGCAGGATGTGGGGCCCCCAGGATGGGCTTGGACCCCAAAGCATGATGTAGAACCCCCAGGATGGACCCCCTTCCCGGGGACCCCCTCCCCCCTTGGGGGAGCACTTGGACCCCCAAAGCTGGATGTGGGACCCCCCGGGGCAGCACTTGGACCCCAAGTCAGGATTGCAACCCCCGCAGCCACATTCGGACCCCCAAGGCAGGATGTGGGACCTCCGAGGGAGCACTCGGACCCACAAGTCAGGATTGGGACCCCGGCGGCTGCACTTAGACCCCTAAAGCAGGATATGGGACCCTGTGGGGGCACTTGGACCACAAGGCAGGATGTGCGACCCCGGGGACGGGCTCAGACCCTCAAGACAGGATGTAGGACCCCCCCCCCCCCCCCCCCCCCGGCCAGGGCAGTACTAGACCTGCGAGGCAAAGGGACAGGCTTGGACCCCAAGGCAGGAAGTGGGAGCCCTGGGGAAGCACTCGGACCCCCAGGACCAGACCACCGATCCCGCGCGGAGGCCGGAGAGGGACGGGTGTGGGGAAGCGCCCGCTCAGGGTCGGATGCCGGAGCCTGGCCCCGCTGGCGCCACTACCTGGCACGGGCATCCGCCCAAGAGACCTAGTACCCGGCGGTGAAGTCCCAGGTTTGCCGGCCGCGGACTACTCGCGCCAATCAGGTGGCGGTGGGCACGTGACGTCCGGCGACCAATGGGGAGCTCGCACGGGAACACGCCCCCTAGAGGCCCCGCCCCTAGCGTGCCGGCGAGCGCAGGATGTGGGCCCTGCGGGCCGCCGTCCGCCCAGGGGCCTGGCTGACTCGAGTCATTCGCGGCCGCCCGGCTCCGAGAGCCGCGCCGCCGCTGCTGGTCTGCCCCGAACGCGCCCTCGCCGCCTTCGGCCCCGGGGGACTCAAGGGGCGAGGGGGCGGAGGACGGGGCCCGCCGGCTGATGGCGTGAGAAGCCGAACGGGAGAGGAGGAGGAACCAGAAGATGCGGAGGAGGAGGAGGAAGAGGAGGAGGAGGAGGAGCTGCTGAGGAGGGACCCTTTGCTGCCGGTGGGGACCCACCGCGTGTGCCTGGTTCACCCTGAGGTCAAGTGGGGACCCGGGAAGCCGCAGCTGACCCGAGGTGTGCCCGGGAGCTGCGCCGCGGGCGGGGTCGGGGACTCTGACAGGCGGGGCTTCCAAGGGGGCGGGGACTCGGGAGAATCGGGCTTTGAGGGCTGGAGCTCAGTTAGCCGCAGGCGGATGCTGGGGGGCGGGGCTGCAGGGACTGACACTCTGGGGGCGGAGATTGGGGTGGGCGGGGCTTCCATGGCCAGAGCTCAGGGCGGGCACTCTGGGGGCGGAGACTCGGAGGGGCGGGGCATCGCGCGGAGGAGACGCGGAGGGGCGGGGCTGCAGAGAACCCCGCGCAGCTCTCAACCGCCGGCGCCCATCCCCCTACACCTGCGGGAGGCCGCCCCAGCCCCCCGCTGCCTGGCCCTCTCCCCTCTCTGCCTGCTCCCTGGTGAGGCCCTCCTCTCCGCTCCGGCGTGTGTTGTGTCTTTCCCGTTCCTTTCCTGTAAGGAATCTAACAAAGTCTAGAGCCAGCGTGCCCAGTCTGTGTGTGCGTGTGTGTGAGATGGACCCTTGAGTATCTTACCGTGCAGCACTATCATTTATGTGATCACTCACTACTAAAGACTGCGCAAGAAAACGTTCCTAATGCATGCACCTTATACCCGGAACAGCAAGCCCTTGGCTGCCCACCCTCTCGAGGGCGGCTGCCTGGGGCGGGTATCGTCTGTTTCTCCCCCCCTCCACCCCATCACTAACAGCAGGAGGCTCCACGCACTCACTGCAGAGAGCCACCCCCTGGGCCCCCTGCTGCGGGTGGCGGAGAACTGGTTCCAGGGTCTCAGCAGGGGTGTGCTGGATGACCTAGGAAGACCCGGTGGCACAGCGGGAGGGGCAGGCACGCAGGTGTGACGACAGTCTCCAGCCAGGGAGCAGCCAGGGAGCAAGGGAGCAAGGCAGAGGGAGCAGCAAGCTGGCTGGGTGGCTGTGGGGAGGTGGGGGTGCTTACAGCCAAGTCCCCGGCGGTCTGACGCGCGCCGGTGTGGGCTGTGCCCACTGGCGTTGTCCCAAGCACGCTGCGTTAGGGCAGGTCCGTGACCCGAAAGGGTGGGGCTTCAATTCCTCTCCTGCTCTTAGACCTTTGTTACCATCTTTCATAGAGTCAGCCTTCTGCCAGGCCCGGTTCAGCAGCACGTAGCACATTCAGAGTTTGCAGCCACCCCCTATTTGGCTCATATCACCCCAGGAGGAGGCCCTGTACCCTTAATACCAGTCACTTCCCATTGCATCCCCATCCGGTCCCTCACAGCCATGAATCTGCTCTGCCTGTGTTCGAGACGTTCCATATCCGTGCTCGGTTCCTTGTTTTCTCTTAACCCTTTTAGAGCAGCCTTAGTTGCGCAGAAGATTGAGAAGACGGTAATAACATTAGTTGCACGAAAGATGGAGAGGGTACTGAGTTCTCTGTACCTCCTGTTAGCCTCCTGTGTTATCAGCATCCGCACCATGCGGGATACACGTTATGTTCCAGGCACCTACGTGAACAAGGACTCTCCCAGAGTCCGCGGTGCGCAGTGCGAGTCACTCTCTGTGTTTCACGCCCTGTGGGTCTGGACAAGGTGCCGTGCCACTGAGCCATCATTACGGGATTCTGCAGAGTGGTTTTCCTGCCCCAGCCCACCCTCGTGCTGGAAACTGCACGTTTTTACTCTGTGCCTTTGTCTGCCTTTTCCAGAGCATCAGAGAGTGAGAATCACCCACTACACAGCCTTTTCAAAATAATTTTTTATATTGTTTTTATTTATTTCTGAGAGAGAGACAGCGTGAGCAGGGGAGGCTCAGAGAGAGAGGGAGACACAGAATCTGAAACAGACTCCAGGCTCTGAGCTGTCAGCACAGAGCCCAATGTGGGGCTCAAACCCATGAACCGTGAGATCATGACCTGAGCCGGAGTCAGACACTTAACTGACTGAGCATCCGGGCGCCCCATCAAGTTCTTCTCTTATTGCTGAGGTTTAAGAGCTCTTCTGGATAACAGTCCTTCCTCAGGTGTTTTTACAAATATTTCTTCTCGTCCGTAGCTCTCTACATCGTTGTTCATGGTGCAGAAGTCCCTGCTCGTGACAGAGATTCATGCCTCGGCCTTGCCCTGCCCACTCATATGCCCGTCAGCAGATGCATTTCCGTTAGAGTGTGTGTGACAGCCGGCATTTCTGTTTGGCTCTTTCTCAGGATTTCCATCTGTCTGCTTACGCTGCCCGTCTGTTATTCCGTGCTGCCTACTCTGTCCGTCAGAGCCCTTAGCATGTGAATCATAGCTGTTGTAAGTTCTATAGTTCCAGCAACCCTGCCGTACCCAGTTCTGATGCTGTCCTGTGTCTCCACATCACGTTCCTCACCTTTCAGTGGGCCCTGTGATCCTCTCCTAACAGCCAGATGTGATGCACTGGGCCCACTAGTGCACTAGTGTCGTGCGCGGAGGTGTGGAGCAGGGGTGAGCGAGAGAGGAGGTGAGAGGCAGGGGAGGGGCAGGGGTGCGGAGGTGTGGGGCAGGGGTGAGTGGGTGGGGAGGTGAGAGGCAGGGGAGGGGCAGGGGTGATATCCTCAGTCCCGCAAGCAGGGCCCAGTCAAGAGTGAGCCGGTGCATCTGAACTGTGACCTGCAGAAGTGTTTCTCTGTTTTCATTCCCGGGGGTGTCCCACGTGGCACTTGGCCAGCCCCCCAGGCCAGTGGCTGTGGGATCGGCTGAAGCAGCACGACCACATCCGGGGGGTTGCGGGAAGCTGCACTGTGACCCACGGTTGAGCTGGGGACGGTTGAGCTGGGGACGTGGCCTCCGCGTCGGTGGGGTTTGCTGATGAGCCACGTGTGAAGGTGAGGGAGGGAAGTCGGGGTGACCCACCGGGAAGGGTCCACGTGAGGAGGACCAGCGAGGCCCGTCTGGGGTCAAGTCTGAGGACACTGTGCCTGTCCTCAGCCCAGAGGATGGGAGACCCATCTCCGTCCGAACAGAGATGGGCGTCCCCCTGCACCCTCGGGTTCCCACCCACCCACTCCTTACCAGCTCCATCCCATGCCTCCCCGGCTTGCCTCTGTTTCCTCCCTGTGCCAGAACCCTGAGGATGAGGTGACCTAATGTCCCCCCATGCTCAGAGCCAGGCTGGGTCGCTGGGGGGGGGGGGGGGATAACGTGGCAGGGTCTGTGCCATCAGGATGGACCACCCTCTGTGACACTGTGCTGCAAGGCGGCCACCTCGTGGACTGGGCACCAGTGCCCCCCACACCTGCCGCCCCCTAGAGCACAGCGTCTGGGGTGCCCCATGCTGCCTTCCTGTTCAGGACCCCTCTCGGGAGACCCAGTGGGGGGCAGATCCAGTGCCAGGCCTGGCCCCAGGCGCCCCCCGCTCCCCTGGCCAGCCTCTCAGGAACCACCCACCACCCGAGATGCTTCTGGAACCTGCCCCGGCCCCCAGGCCCCGTGTATCATCCTGTCTGCTGCACAGGCAGCAGGCTCTGAGATCACCCACTCCCGGCCCGTCGGGGCTCACAGCCCACCCTGCAGGCATGAGTGTGGCCCGTTCCTGGGGCCCTCGGGGCCCGCCTCACAAGACCTGCCACCTAGTGGCTCAGACAGACCACGGGGGCCGCACTGAGTCCTGTTAACCGCCAAGCCGCAGCGTCCAGTGTGAGCAGGGCTCCTGTGTCCTGCCCTCGCCCCTGCCGGTCTGAGCTCGGGGGACGGAGCTGTGTTCTGGGGCAGGTGCCTACCGGGATGCCATCTCTGGGCCTCCGCGCACCCATGCGGGAGGCCATCCGAGCCGGGGTCGTGGGGCCAGGGCTGACCTCACAGGGACGCGTCCCTCACCCTGGCCCTGTGTCTCCCCAAGCTGAGTGGCAGGTGGCGGAGGCAGAGGCTCTGGTCCACACACTGGACGGCTGGTCGGTGGTGGAAAGGATGGTGGTGCCCACCAAAACACCCGACGGGAAGGTCATCTTCGGCAGAGGGACCTTGCAGCACCTGACAGGTGGGTCCTCGCCTCCTTTTCTCTCTTCCTCCCGAAAGAGCAGCAGGCGGGCTCTCTGCCCAAGCAGAGGCGTCCTCACAGCAACTCGGATCAGATGTCAGAAACGCCCGGGTCGGGGGGCCGTCGGGGCAGTTTAGGGTCAGGGGGAAGCTGGTCCCGGGACCCCAGCCCAGCCCAGCCCGCCCCGCACACAGGGAACCCTGCCCTCCACGGAGTCCAGGGGTCTCCAGCTGCCGTCCAACTCACGGTTCAGAGCAGCAAGCCCTGCAGATGTGCCGACGGGTGCTCACCGCCCAGTGCTGTCACCCTAGGTCATGGGCCCATCCAGTGCCTACGGGGCTGTGTGACCTGGGGGTGCACAACCCGGTCCCCCCTGCCCTGTGTCACGCACCAACTTCCCAAGTATGTACTTGGACGGCCGCGGGGCGCCGTCGAGCACGGCCGACCGAGCTCAGGCTCAGCCCCACGATGGCCCCCGCGGAGCAGCGACGTCTGACTCTGACCGAACTGCTCTCGTCCTCAGAGAAAATCAGAGCGCTGCCCGAAATCACGGCGGTCTTCCTGAACGTGGAGAGGGTGGCCCCGCCCACCAAGGTATGGGACTCTGGCGCTTCCCGCCCTCCATGCCCATAGTCAGGTCAGCAGCCGGCTGCGGTGGGACACAGGAGGCCACGGGATCACCTACACCCTCATGTTCCCAACCACCCAAGATACCCTTGCAGATGCCTTCAGTCCCTCTCTCTTTCCAGAAAGAACTGGAAGAGGCCTGGGGCGTGCAGGTGTTTGACCGATTCACGGCTGTGCTCCACATTTTCCGCTGCAACGCCCGGACCACGGAGGCCCGGCTGCAGGTGGCGCTGGCCGAGCTCCCCCTTCTCAGGTACCGCCCCCAGCTCTCGGGACCGTAGGAGCGCTGCGCCGGGTGAGGCGAGGGCCGAAGGCAGGGCCAGCCACGCCCTCTGGGACGGCGAGGCCTGTCAGCAGCCGTGTCCCAGCAGCGTGCCTACCAGGACAGGTCACCCAACAGTGAGGCCCTCTGTCTCTGACGGTGAAGGCCCAGGCAGGAGAGAAGGCCCCCTGCCTTGTTCTCTGCACCCAGAGGTCTCTCCTCACCCTTGCCTCTGTGTGTTGATGCCTGGTCTGCTCTCACTGGACAGCACGCATGTCTCATCCCGTGTCCTGAGATGCCCCCTTCCCGTGGCAGGGCCCACCTGAAACATACCGCTGCGCGCCTGGCTGGACGGGGAGGAGGCTCGCGCTACATCATGGGGTCAGGTAACACGGGGGGTCTTGTCACCGGGTGCTCAGAAGGGGTATGTCAGGGCTGCCACCCTCAGGAAGGGAGGGGATAGCATCACTGAAAGATGCCAGTGGGGGCTGCATGTGACCCTCGTATGTGGTCACATTCAAACAAGCTATGATATCTACATGGTCTCCTGGCGTGGCTGTAACAAAGGACCAAGAGACAGAGCCTTAAAAACCACCGGAACCTATCATCTCAGCTCTGGACCAGGAGTCTGAGATCCAGGCAGGGCCGCTGAGACCCAGGCGGGGACAGGGCCACTGAGACCCAGGCGGGGGACAGGACCACTGAGACCCAGGTGGGACCCCTGAGTTCCAGGCAGGGGCGGGGCTGTGCTCCCTCCAGAGGCTCCAGGGGAGGGTCCTTCCTGCCTCTTCCAGCCTCTGGGGCTCAAGGCGTCCTTGGGCATGTGGCTGCATCCCTCCCGTGTATGTCTTCACGTGGCTTCTCCTGTCTCCTGTTCTGTCATACAGACATTTGTCTGTGGACTTAGGGTCATGCTGATCCAGAATGACCCCCTCTCACATCCTTTACACAGTTACATGTGCCAAAACCCTATTCCGAAATGAGGTCCCCTTCACGGGTCCCGGAGGTCAGGATGTGGATGTGTCCCTGGGGCACTGCTTGCATGGTTGTGAATATCATGGGGGTCTCCTGAGGCTCTCCCTTAATCCCCAGTAAAGGGGAGCCCAAGTGACCCAGAGGGCAAAGCCCGGCTGTGAGGCTACACTCCACTGGGCAATGGCGCCCCTTGGTGTGGGAGAGCAGGCATGGGGTCCCAGAGAGAGGGTGCCTGTGCACAAGCCACACAGGGACCTACTCTCACGACTTTGTGTGTGTGCCCTCTGACTCGCCACGTTGGGTGTTTTTAGGAGAATCTCTCATGCAGGTGCAGCAGCGCCTCCTGAAGGAAAAGGAGCTAAAGATTCGGAAGGCCCTGGAGAGACTAAGGAAGAAAAGGCACCTCCTGGGAAGGCAGCGCAGACGGCGGGAGTTTCCGGTGATCTCCATGGTGGGATACACGAACTGCGGTGAGTCGAGTTCTGGGGGTGAGGCGTGGGGTCCTCTGCCGCTCCCCCACCCTGCTCTGCACTGGGGAGAAGCCGCTTGCACTGCAATGGGGCCCTGGTGTCGAGGGCCGGCAGATGATGAGAACAGGTGGAAAGCGTGGCTCACGCCCCCAGGGCATGTCGGGTCCCACGGCAGTCGCCCCATCAGGTCACTCGTATGGTTATCGAGTGCAGGGCAGTGCAGGGCTCCGCTCTCATACAGGTGTTTCTAACTCAGAGAGAGAGAGGTCTGACAGCGTTAAGACCGTTTCTGGTAGGAGACCCATGGGGATAAAAGCAGTTCAGACGGTTCCGTAGGACCTCCCAGGAGGTTCCCTGGCTTAGCTTAACACGTGCGTTCAGCACGATCGTCTACACAGGACCTCGGGCTCCTCCGTCCTGAAGCCACGGTTGCGGGAAACAACGGCAGGTGCGACTTCTCACCATCGGGGTCCGGCCAGCGTGTCCGGGCCGTGCGCGTCCCCACCCTCACACCACCAGCTCCCCATCCTCGAGGAAGGAGGGAACTTCCCTCGAAGCCCGAACAGAACGCCGTGGGTGCAGGAAGCTGTAGAGGGTCCTCCGCAGACATGGGCTCTCACCTGTGGGACATGGAGGGCGCTTCCGCGTGGGGTCAGGGCCCCCGTTTCTGCAGGGAGCTCGGTCCCGCTAGCTTACACCCGTGGCCCACGCGTGCCACGTGCTCGGCCAGCACGGAGGAGTCCCTGTCCGGGACCCGTGTGGGGAGCGCACCTGCCTGTCACCCTCAGCATAAACAGTCGCCTGGTTCGCCTGTGGGGCGGGCTTAGCCAGTGGCCAGCAGTAAGCTCCTGAGCAGGCATGGTGCCGGTGTGGCCCCTGAACTCGGGGGACGGGGGGCGGGTGCACGTGCAGCTGCGTTCTTTCAGGAAGGCTGAGGGCAGGGGACATCCCCGGGGGCCACTGCAGACACAGCGCCTGCCTGTCTACACCATCACACTGTTAACGCGGTCACCCCGTCCAGCTCACACACACCAGTTCCACCACCACCCTGTCTACACAGACACCCAGCCCACCTCACACATACCACCACCACCCCCTCTACACAGATGCCCAGCCCCCTTCACACACACACATACCACCACCCTGTCTACACAGACAACACACATGCCCCATATGCACCACGGCCCTGTCTACACCATCACCTTTCTGCCACGTGGATACCTACTGCATCTTAGATGCACAGAGAACCTGTCTCGTCTACATGGACGCCAATCTCGGGTCACCCACACATGCACAAATGTAGCCATGTATTTACCGTCCTCATCTGCACGGTGCCTTCACACCCTCAGACGTCACCACCCCGTCCACACCACACTGCCCACACACAGGCACTCGAACGCCGGCCCCGGCACTCTCAGCCACAAGCATGACCAAGAGCAGCAGCGTCCTAGTGACCACGCAAGGCAGAGACGAGGAGCCCAGAGACCTCACCACGCACGGTGGGCCACGTGTGAGGGGGCCTCTTACACAGCGTGTCCCCTGTGACCCACCTTCCAGGAAAAACCACGCTGATCAAGGCCCTGACAGGCGATGATGCCATCCAGCCCCAGGATCGGCTGTTTGCGACGCTGGATGTCACAGCCCACGCGGGGTGGCTGCCCTCCCGCGTCGCCGTCATCTACATGGACACCATCGGCTTCCTCTCCCAGCTGCCCCACAGCCTGATTGAGTCCTTCTCCGCCACCCTGGAAGACGTGGCTCATTCGGTGAGTGTGGGACGATCCCAGAGGCCGAGTTACCTAAATACCTGTGTAACTGGGGCCGGGTCCCCTCCCATGACACAACGCGGGGGCCGGGTCCCCTCACACAGGACACGACGCGGGGGCTGAGTCCCCTTACACAACATGACGTGGGGACAGGGTCCCCTCACATGACACGACGCGGGAGCCAGGTCCCTTCACACAACACAACCTTGGGGACCTGGCGCCCTCACATACAACACAACATGGGGGCCAGGTCCCCTCACACACATGACGCGGGAGCCGGGTCCCCTCACACACGACGACGTGGGAGCCGGGTGCCCTCACACACGACATGACGCGGGAGCCGGGTCCCCTCACACAGGACACACGTGGCGGCCAGCTCTCTGGACACCCCTCAGGAAGGTGGCACCTAAGCCACCCAGAGTGAGCCCTTTCCGGTGCCCCCACGGAAAGAGTCCCCGAAGGAGGTGCGGCCGCCATGCCCTCAGGTCGCCCGGTGTGTGCAGCATGGACGCGGGGATTCAGGGCTCGCCCTCCGTGGTCCTGCCCCCAAGCCCCAAACCTAGTGTGAACATGAGAATGAACCGGGCCGACCCCAACTACAGGGTGACCCACAGATTGCCCGAACGGTGCCCAACGTGGTCAGGGTCAGAGGGGCCACGGAGAGGGGACTGACGACGTGACCCGGTCCTGGGTGGTGCCCACCGGACAGAGCCCCGTGGTCGCCCCGGCTTGTGGCACACGCCCCGGCCACCGTGGGCAACCGAGCGACACAGGGAGAGAGAGAATCGCAAGCAGGCCCCACGCGGTCAGCAGAGGGCCCGACGCGGAGCCCGACCCCAGGAACCGTGAGACCATGACCCGAGCCGAGCCGACAGCCCGTCAGGCGCCCTGCGTTTCCCAAATTCCGCGCCGGTCCCTGCCTGTAAAATATCCAAACGCAGGCAAAAAGCGTTGTTTAAGGTTTGAAGTAACGCAGACTCTCAGGGCCCCGCAGACCGAGAGCCCTCAGGTGAAGGGGCACCGCGGGGGGCAGGCCGGTCCCACCTGCTGCAGCTGTGTGAGTCTGCAGGTGCGCGGGTGCTGGGGAGCAGGAGAGGCCCAGGACCCCGGCCACGTGGAGGGGGCGGCCTGGAAGGGCAGGACCCAGAGCGAGGGGCGCAGGGTGGCCCACCAGCCAGCTCTGGTCTCGGGGAGCCCCTACCCCCACTCAGGGCGGGGTGCCGCTGCCAGCCCCGCCCCCTTGTTTGCTGTCCTGGAGCCCCGGCCGGCGCAGGCCCCCTGTGTGCGCCCCGGAACCGCGTCCCCGGCACGGCCGTCTGCTCCCCAGGATCTGATCGTGCATGTGAGAGACATCAGCCACCCCGAGTCGGAGCTGCAGAAAGCCAGCGTCCTGGCCGCCCTGCGCGGCCTGCGCCTGCCCGGCCCGCTGCTGGGCTCCATGCTGGAGGTTCACAACAAGGTGGACCTGCTGCGGGGGTGAGTGCCCCACCCGTGGAGCCCGTTCCCGCGGTGCCCCCGGTGCTCAGGAGCTCGGTGCTCCCCCCCGCCCCCCGCAGCGGTGCTTCCACGCTGCCAACCCAGGGGAGGCCAGGGAGGTCCCAGCACACTCACCGTGCGGCAGACCCACCTGTTCCGAGCCCCTCCCCCCGCAGCCCCGCCCCCGTGTCCCCCCAGCCGTACCCTGGTTCTCCGTCTGCTCTGTTCCCGTCGTGGGCCAGGTCCTCCCCTGGGACCGCCTGAGGCCGTCACGGTTCAGCCCCGTGGGCGGGGGCTCTTGGGGACCCCCGCTCTGTGATCGGAGCTGAGTGGGGTCTGCCGGCCGTCGCCTTGCAGGTCCAGCGCGGCGGGACCCCAGGCCGTGGCCGTGTCCGCCCTCCTGGGGCACGGGCTTCCGGAGCTGAAGGCCCGGCTGGAGGGCGCCGTCCTGAGAGCCACAGGCACACAGGTCCTCACGCTCCGGGTCCCGCTGGCCGGGGCGCAGCTGAGGTGCGTGCGGCGGGCCAGGGCGCGCGGGCCGTGCAGGGGCAGGGCACGCGGGGCAGGGCGCCGCCCGCGGGTGCTGCCTGACGCACCTGCAGCGAATCTCCGTTAATGACTCAGCGTGCGGGCACCACCGCCTCCTGGAGCTGACGGGGGAGGAGGGCTCCTCGGCAGTAGCTCCTCGCCAGCGTCAGCAAGGCGGTGCGGGGCTGGGGGACAGGGGACGGCGCTCTGCTTGGGAACAGTTCCTGCCCCCAGGGCCCGTGGGGGTCCTCGCCCGCCCCACAGAGCGCCCCGTGTCCTCCCCAGCTGGCTGCACCAGGAGGCCACGGTGCAGGACGTGGACGTGATCCCCGAGGCCGGCGTGGCCGACGTCAGGGTCGTCATCAGCAGCTCTGCCTACGGCAAGTTCCGGAAGCTCTTCCCAGAGTGCGCCAGCCAGTGAGGGAGGGAAGGCGGTATGGGCTGAGCACCGCCTCCGGCCCTCCGGCCCTCCGGCCCTCCGGCCCTCCTGCCCTCCGCCCCCACCTCGGGCGCCTGGCTCGCTGCTGGGGGCCGCCCCCCTGCGGCCAGAAGTTGGAGGTCACGGCTCAGGGTGACTGCGCAAACCGTGCTCGCCTCCCGAGAGCAGGTTTCCCTTCCACGCTCTTCCAGCCACAGGACATTAAAAGCTCTGCTCTCCTGCGTGTCCTCAGCCGTGCTGTTCTCCCCTGCGCCCGCCGGGCACCAGGTCCCGCCCGCGGTGCCGTGTGGGAGGATCCCTCAGGGTTTCCTGTGTGCTGGGCCCCGTGGACCCAGGGCTGCCGGGCCTCCTGCCCTCAGGGGACTGTCCTGGCTGTAGGGGCGCCCGGGGCTCAGGCCATTAGGCATCCGACTTCGGCTCAGGTCATGATCTCACGGTTTGTGGGTTCGAGCCCCGCGTCGGGCTCTGTGCTGACAGCTCGGAGCCTGGAGCCTGGATCCTGCTTCCTGTGTCTCCCTCTCTCTCTGCCCCTTCCCTGCTCACACTCTGTCTCTCAAAAATAAATAAACGTTAAAAAACTTAATGTCAAAAAAATAAAATTAAAATTATTAAACAAATAAGGGCCATCCCCCGACAATCCAGAGGCCTCCACGGGTGCCCACAGCTCGAGGAGAAACAGGAGAGCAGGGCAGCATGGACGGGGAGCAGAGTGGACAACAGGCAGTGTGGACGGGACGAGATGGTGTCCAGGCAGTTCAGGCGAGCGTGCAGCAGGAGACCAGCCAGCCCTGGGACTGGCTCCCAGGGGACCCCAGCGTGCAGGAGTGCCCTGCGCAGGCCGCCCCCAGCCCCCAAGGTCCCAGTCGGTCTGCCTGTCCCTGGGCAGGTCCCCGATCTTCCCTGAGGCCCCCACAGCCTAGCTGTCTGCCTGCCACCCACACCAGGGCCACCTCTTTCCAGCCCCCGACTCCCTCCCTCGTGCACTTCCTCCCCCGCACAGGAGACACAGGAAGGGGTGTGGGTGGGTCAGACCTCTAGCTCCCCACTCTCCTCTCCACAGTCACCCCCCAGTGTCCCCACCCTGTCCCAGAGACCCCACCCCAAGGCCCAGAGACCACAGGGTCCTGACGGCCACTGTGCTTGCTTACAAAGCACGAGGAGGTGGGGGGGGGTCTGGAAGCCTGAGTGTGAGGGTCCGGGTCCTCAGGGTCCCAGGAGGGAAGGTCAGGGACCTCGGGAGACTCCAGACAGAGGGCGTCAGTCTCCCCATCAAGACTGCCCCCCACCCCAGGAGCACCCAGGCTTCCCCAAGAGCCCTCTGTCCACGATGGGCCTTCCAGCACCCGGTCCAATGTGCCCCGACCAGCCGGGCCCTGAGAACAAACACCGCGAAGAAGGGGGCCTAGGCCTGGCTGACACCTGAGTGCCTGCGCCCCGATTCTGACATGGGAAGGGCCACGTATGGGTCTGAGGGACCCACAGACACTGTCGCTTGACGGACCCGCAGGACACTGAGCACCTGAACCACATGGTCTCCTTGTCCATGGGCTCGTGGTCTACACGCGCAGCCGCCACGGCACCTGCCAGAGACAGCCTTCAGACAGAGCAAGTACAAAACTCTCAGAAACTCAGCTTTAAAATTAACCATGGGTGGGGGGAGGGGGGGCGCCGGCGAGGCTCCGTCGGTCAGTTATGCGACTTCGGCTCACGTGGGTTCGGCCCTGCATCGGACTCTATGCCAACAGCTTGGAGCCTGGAGCCTCATTTGGATAAATAAACATTTTTAAAAATCTAAATAAATTAAACAAAATTAAATATTGAGGACGCACCTGGCTGGCTGTGGATGGAATGTGCAACTCTTGATCTCAGGTTCTTCGGTTTGAGCCCCAAGCGGGCTATAGAGATCATTCAAAAGTAACATCGTTCTTATTTTTTTAAAAATCAGGGGCTCCTGGGGGGCTCAGTCAGTTGAGCGTCCGACTTGGGCTCAAGTCATGATGTCATGGTTCGCGTGGGCTCTGTGCTGACGGCTCAGAGCCTGGAGCCTGTTTCAGATTCTGTGTCTCCCTTTCTCTCTGACCCTCCCCTGCTTGTGCTTTGTCTCCCTCTGAGTCTCAAAAATAAATAAAAACATTTTTAAAATGTTTAATCTTTTTTTTTTTTTAAGTTTATTCATTTTGAGAGAGAGCGCGCGTGCGCACAAGCAGGGGAGGCACACAGAGAGAGGGAGAGAGAAAGAATTCAGACCAGGGTCCGTGCAGATCATGACCTGAGGTAAAATCAGAGTGGTTGCTTAACTGACTGAGCTACCCAAGTGCACCTTTTGTTTGTTACTTATAGACACATTTATAAAGCTTTAAAGACATATATAGAGCTTTCTTGTTTTAGTATTTTCCGTTTGCTTTCAGCCTTCTATGTCCTTGTTCGTTCGTTCCTTCCTTCCTTCCTTCCTTCCTTCCTTCCTTCCTTCCTTCTTTCCTTCCTCTTTCCTTCTTTCTTTCTGAGAGGAAGAGAGGGGGCAAAGACATGCAGGCCCCACTCTCAGTGCGGAGCCCATCACACGACCCAGGGATCACGACCTGAGCCAAAATCAAAAGTCTAATGCTTAACTGACTGAGCCATCCAGGAGCCCCAAAATAACATCCTTTAAAAAAATAATAATAATAATAAAGTACGATCTTCACAGAGCTAGAACAAACGATCCTAGAATGTGTAAGGAACCAGAAAAGACCCCGAAAAACCAAAGCGGGAGGCATCACAATCCCAGACTTCAAACTGTGTTACAAAGCTGTGATCATCCAGACAGTATGGGACTGGCACAAAAACAGACACATAGACCAATGGAATAGAATAGAGAACCCAGAAATTGACCCACAAATGTACGGCCAACTCATCTTTGACAAAGCAGGAAAGAATATCCAGTGGAAAAAAGATAGCCTCTTCAGCAAGTGATGCTGCGAAAACTTGACAGCCACTCTGGAAAACCGTATGGACGTTCCTCAAAAAATTAAAAATAGAACTACTCCACGCAGTGCACTACATAGCAATTGCACTACTAGGTATTTATCCAAGGGATACGGGTGTGCTGTTTCTAAGGGGCACATGCACCCAATGTTTATAGCAGCGCTATCGACAACAGCCAAAGTGTGGGAAGAGCCCAAATGTCCATCCACAGATAAATGGATAAAGAAGAAGTGGTTTCTATATGCAATAGAATCAAAAAGAATGAAACACACTCGGGAATCAAAAAGAATGAAATCTTTCCTTTTGCAACTATGTGGATGGAACTGGAGGGTATCATGCTAAGCGAAATTAGTCAGAGAAAGAAACATCATATGGTGTCAGTCCTATGAGTAAGATACAAAACAGATGAACATAAGGAAAGCAAAAATAACAACAACAAAAAACAAGGACGGGGGCGCCTGCGTGGCTCAGTTGGTTAAGCATCCAGCTTTGGCTCAGGTCATGATCTCAGTTTGTGGGTTCAAGCACCGTGTCGGGCTTTGTGCTGACGGCTCAGAGCCTAGAGCCTGTTTCGGATTCTGTATCTCCCACTCTCTCTGACCCTCCCTGCTCATGCTGTCTGTCTCTCTCTCTCTGAAATAAATGTTAAAAAACATTAAAAGAATCTTTAAATTAAAAAAAAAAGGATGGGGACAAAAAACAAAAATTTATTTTTTACTGTTTATTTATTTTTGAAAGAGAGACAGAGAGAAAGCAGGGGAGGGGCAGAGAGAGAGGGAGACACAGAGTCCAAAACGGTCTCCAGGCTCTGAGCTGTCAGCACAGAGCCCTACACGGGGCTCGAACTCATAAACTGTGAGATCATGACCTGAGCCAAAGTCAGATGCTTACCAACTGAGCCCCCCAGGTGCCCCAAGAGACTCTTAAATATGAAGAAGAGACAGAGGGTTACTGAAGAGATCGTGGCGGGGATGGGCTAAATGGGTGAGGGGCATTAAGGAATCTACTCCTGAAATCATTGTTGCACCATATGCTAACTAACTTGGATGTAAATTTTTTAAAATTAATAAAACGAATAAAACGAAATTTTTTTTAAAAAAGTACAGGGGGCACCTGGGTGGCTCAGTCGGTTAAGCACCCAACTTCACCTCAGGTCATGATCTCATGGGGTCGTGAATTTGAGCCCATGTCGGGCTCTGTGCTGACATCTCAGAGCCTGGAGATGCTTCAGATTCTGTGTCTCCCTCTCTCTCTGTCCCTCCTCTGCTCATGCTGTCTCTCGCTCTCTCTAAAAAATAAACAAACCATAACATTAAAAAAAATAAAGTACAGAACCTTTGCTTCAAGTACGCATAAAGAGACTTAAAATTCCACAAAATTGAGACGCATGATCCAGGACTTTATTTTATTTATTTATTTTTAGTTGCTTTTTTTTTTTTTTTTTTACATTTATTTACTTTTGAGAGACAGAGACAGAGTGGGAGCAGGGGAGGGGAAGAGAGACAGGGAGGCACAGAACCTGAAGCAGCTCCAGGCTCTGAGCTGTCAGCACAGAGCCCAACGCGGGGCTCGAACCCACGAACCGTGAGATCATGACCTGAGCCAAAGTCGGATGCTTAACCGACTGAGCCCCCAGGCGCTTGGGGACTGTAATTGATAAAGCAATAATGAAGTGTGGCCCCGTGCGGCAGGTGAACAAAGATGTGAAGAACGTGCTTCTTCAGCACTGGGTTGTACAGGATCCCCCCCCCACCCCCGCCCCGNGAAGAGAGACAGGGAGGCACAGAACCTGAAGCAGCTCCAGGCTCTGAGCTGTCAGCACAGAGCCCAACGCGGGGCTCGAACCCACGAACCGTGAGATCATGACCTGAGCCAAAGTCGGATGCTTAACCGACTGAGCCCCCAGGCGCTTGGGGACTGTAATTGATAAAGCAATAATGAAGTGTGGCCCCGTGCGGCAGGTGAACAAAGATGTGAAGAACGTGCTTCTTCAGCACTGGGTTGTACAGGATCCCCCCCCCACCCCCGCCCCGACGTGTTGCCCAGATGTCTCCTTGCTCAAAGGACAGAGCCAGGAATCAGTGACAAGGCGGACTTCGTTGATTGTTCCCAGGACTGAGCAACCGTGAGGACCGTTGCGGACACAAACGGAACGTAGCTGTGGAACGGACGTGGACAGAAGGGGGTTGTGGGATGCTCAGACCACGCTTCAACCTGTCCGTGCCGTGGCCCCAGTGCTGTCCTCCGCGCCTCCGCGCCTCCTGCTGAGCGCCTGTGGCTCCTGACCTGCTGCGTCCGCACAGCGACTGCAGCAGCCCATCTGCTTTTGGGAAATGACGACTTTGTCCCTGAAGATAACTCATTCCAACACGGAGTAAAGCATCATCTTGAAGGCAACCCTAAGAAAACCCAATGTCTTTCACCGGAGGCGGAATGCTCTGGAACACGAGAAACACGGGAGCCCCCGGAACCCTCTCCATACAGGAGAGAAACCAGTGTACTGCCCGGGCTCACCGCTTGGCTGGGAACTTAGTCCGTGTGGGAGACGCGGGACTGGTGTGACGTTTCCGTTCGCACAGCCGGGTCCCTGGTACCGAGGGGCAGAGCCCTGATGTCCGGCCTCTCGCGGGGAGCGGGCTCTCCTCCGTACCCCCGGAGTTTAACTCACGGAGGCGGCCAACTGCCAGAGGCAGAATTTATTACACGCCTCGCCCCAGGCGGGGTGCCGCCCGCAGCCACAGGGAGAACCCGTGTGGGGCAGAAATTTGCGTCAGGGCACGCGGTTTCCGTGGGAGAGGCATGTGCTTCCCGGATACCGTGTTTCACAGACGGCAGGTGCACGGCCAGGCGGCCGGCCCCACGTTTCCAACAGCGCCCCTCACTTCGTGTCTCTGCGCCCCCGCTTTCGTAGTGCTTGCAGGACGGCCAACGTTTCCATTCTTGCTGTGTCCGTTCCGCTGACTTCTGCTCAGCGTGCAGGGCTCGCTGACACGGAGGCTCGTTGGCGTTTCCTAGCAACACGGTAAGATTTCGCTAAGGCACCTGCACTGGTTGTTTGGACATAAGGCGACTGGTGTGCGTTTACTAGACTACAGTGTAAACGCACCTGCTGTGTGTCCTGGGAAACCAAAACTTCACGCGACGCGCTTTCCCGCAGTTCCGCTGGGGAGAACCCGCAACAACGGCAGGCTGCGTCCGAAGCAGCTCGGCGGTGAGCCCTGAAGCGCACGCATCGGCTTTGGCGAGCACGTGCTGACGACGGGGTTGCTACGCGTCCGCACAAGCGCCTGCTCCCAGGTCCCTGGTCTCGTCTCTAATTACGAAGCTGGGAGCCCCGAGACAGGCGTCTGCGCGGCCCCCAAATGCCAGAGCGCCAGGAACAGAGAAAAGAGGAAAACGGCGTTCACGTCTTCAGCGCGGTGGCCAATGCCTGGCAAATAGAGACAGACAGACAGACCCTCAGAAACCACAGAACGAGGACGTTGGAAAGCTGACAAGTGCCGGCATGGTCTGGGATAGAAGAGTCACAGGTGTGGCAGAGCTTCAGGACCACTCAGCCTAATTTCCTGGGCGCCTCTGGGTCGCCGCTTTCCAGGCGCCTCAGTGTAGCCGCTTTCCGGGCGCCTCAGGGTCGCCGCTTTCCGGGCGCCTCAGTGTAGCCGCTTTCCAGGCGCCTCAGGGTCGCCGCTTTCCAGGCGCCTCAGTGTAGCCGCTTTCCAGGCGCCTCAGGGTCTCCGCTTTCCAGGCGCCTCCGGGTCGCCGCTTTCCAGGCGCCTCAGTGTAGCCGCTTTCCAGGCGCCTCTGGGTCGCCGCTTTCCAGGTGCCTCAGTGTAGCCGCTTTCCAGGGCGCCTGAGGGTAGCCGCCCAGCGCCCGGAGGAAGCCGGTGTGGGAGCCTCAGGAGAGAGGGTCAGAGGAGGGCAGAGACGGGGACACTGGTAGGGACGAAGGTGCCACGGCAGCGCCCACGGCGGGCTTCCAGCTCCCCAGCACACGTGTGTGACCACACCTGCTGGAAGAGACCGTCACGGAGGCATCTGGGAAATGAGGGAGCGAGTGTGAAACACCAGCCGCGTTCCAGGGCCCTGTGTTCCTCTGTCTCCATCAGAAAAACCGAAGTAGAAGCCACGCTAGGCACCCGGCGGCCTGTGGAGGCGCAAACGTGCCATGGTTTAATCCAAAAGAACAGTAGCTTTTCCCCGTTCAATGGTTTCCTCCGTGGATCCGATGTGCCCAGTCCTACACCACAGACACGGTATTTTCGGGCTTTACGCACTCTGGGAGACTGTCAGGACGTCACCCTGCTGCTGTCACAGGCCCAGGCGAGGGGACGCCCCACGCCAGCCACGGCTGTGCTAAAGCTGGAGGAGCAGATCCCAGGTTCCGGGTCCTTCTTCCTCTCAGGATTCAAGCAGGTGCCTCCTCTGATCATCACTGTGTTCTTTCCCCTCCCTCCCAAGAAGCTGCGAAGCTGGGGGTCACAGGTGGCGTGCGGGGCGCCCCGTGGATGGCGGGAGGTGGTGAGGCTGGGACTCTGCCTCGCGCCCCACCGTGCCCCCACCCGAATCCCCGCACCCTCGCGTCCCCTCCTGCGTCCCCGCATCCGTCCCCACGTCCCCCCCCCCGGGTCCCTTTGTCCGTCCAAACGTCCCCGCGTCAGCATCGCAGCAGCTTGTCATTGAGCGCGATGACGTCGCTGGCAAACGAGTCAGCCCCGATGAAGTCCCCGGCGATGATGTTGGTGCACCGCGGGCCCGGCCCGGGGCACTGCTCGCGCACCCACGCCCGCAGGCACGGCAGGCTGGGGAGCGTCAGCTTCTCCAAGGACCCGGATGGGTGCGCCAGGACGTATACCAGATTCTCCGTCAGGTTGATGCCCGCCACGAACAGCCCGCCTGCAGCAGGAAGGAGGGGGTCAGTGGCACTGCGGCCGTCAGCCGCCCCCGCCCCCGCCTCGTGTCCACCCGCTTCTCAGCGCAGACTCAAGCTGCGTGCAGAGCAGAGCTCCAACCACACGGCACACACGTGTCCACATAGCACCAGCCTCCTGCCACCCAGCCCGGGGACGGGCAACGTCCGCAGAGACCCGCACGTGCGGACTCCCATGCGGTGAACGGACGAATCTCCCCTGAGATGCAAGCTTGCCACGGAGAGCTGGGTTCCTTACGGAGCCACCAGCAAGGCCCACGGCCACGGCGAGGGCAACACAAAGGCCCACGGCCGCGGTGGGCACAATGCAAACGCCGCGCGGGAGGATCCGGACTCGTACGCCCCGCCACCCCCGTCAGGCGGATGCCAGGCACCTGCGGTAGGAAGGAAGCCCCAGAACCAAAAGAAGATGCAAAACCTGACAAAGAGGGACAGTGACGGACAGACACGCAGGCAGAGAGGGAGGGCGTGGGGCTGCCGGGCAGCTCCCCGTCCCTAAAGGGATCAACCATGTCGTCAGCGCACAGGGAGGCGCACCAGCCCTCGCACACACGCGTCACAATCGCTGGGTCCGCAGGCCATCAGTGTAGCCGCCGCACGCTCTGGTGTTGGTCCTCCGCGGCGAACTGTGCACAGCGCGTGTGTGCGAGTGTGTGCGCTTAGAGTGCATGTGGGTGTGCACGGGAGTGTGTGTGCACATGGAGTACGTGTGTCTGTACAGTGTGTATAGAGTGCATGTGATTACATGCACAGTGTGTGTGGGTGTGTGCACAGTACATGTGGGTGTGTGCACAGCGCATGAGGGTGCGTGCACAGTGTGTGTGTGTGTGTGTGTGCAGCGCATGTAGGTGTGTGCACAGCGTGTGTGGGTGCGAGCACAGTGCTGCAGAGCTGGGGCACGCCTGGGCCTGAGTCTACTCACCTCAGCAGCGGTACTGCAGGTGTGTGCACACGCACGCGCACACAGATGTCTCGTGGACATGGGCATGTGCGTGCGCACGTGACGTGGGGAATACAAGCAGTAAGGAAACGTAGGTCCAGTGAAGTTTCCAAATACCTGCAGCCCCTGACGGAGACCGGGGCGCTGAGTGCAGCGTCTCCGGACGCCCCGTCCCCGCCCTGCTCCTCTCGGTGCTAATGCTTCCCTGGAGGAACAGCCGCCTCCAGGAACAACCTTAGCCTGACAATAGCACAGCCTCAGATCCCGCGGTGTCATTAGCATGTGAAAGTCCTCCTGGGCGCCTCCCCCCTCCACTACCCCCAGGCCCAGGAATACAACCAGTCTCCTCGGGGCCTCTTCCCTGACCCCGGCCGGTCCACGCGGCCACAAAACCACCTGTTTAGTCTCGGGAAATCTTGCTGCGCTGTCGGCTCCAAACCCAAACGTCTTCCACATCGACCGGGACCCAAGGGGCCAGCAAACGCCTTTATTTTTTAATGTTTTTTAATTTTTTAAATTTGTTTTTGAGAGTGAGAGAGAGACAGCGTGAGCAGGGGAGGGTCAGAGAAAGAGGGAGACACAGAACCTGAAGCAGCTCCAGGCTCTGATCTGTCAGCACTGAGCCCGACGTGGGGCTTGAACCCATGAACCATGAGATCATGACCTGAGCAACGGAGCCTCCCAGGCGCCCCCCCCCCCTTGCCTTCTGACAATTATGTAGACGGGCCTCCTGCTGACGGCACCGGCCGTCCCAGCGAGGGGGACGCTGACTCTCGGCCCCTTGTCCTGACAGATGTGGGGGCTTCTCGCTCAGCCATCCCCGAATCACGGCTGGGATCACGGGAGCCGACCCTGCCGAGTCTGCCTCGGGACGGGGACTTCATGGAATATTCCCAGGCAGCCACGGAAACGCCCTTGTTTCGGGGAAATGCTCTCTCTCCTCCGCCCGCCACGGACAGCACGTGTCCACTTTGGGGGAAACTCCGTGGCCTCTGCTCATGTGTCCAACTGTCGAGGCGTAGAATCTGCCGGGAACCCTCTTTCTCCGCCTTCCCGTGGCATCTTGCCCCTTCTGCCTTCTCCCGTTTCTGCAGCACCGGGGGTGGTCCGCTCGCTCGCCCACCAGCTCTGTGCCCCCGGCCCCCGCCCCCCCCCCCGCAGGAGCAAACACCAACCCGGGACTCAGCACCCACCTCAGGGCTCCCCACCCCACCGCCTCCCAGTAAGAATCGACAGTGCGAACCCGACTGACTTTCACGTGGACACAAGTGCAATGTAATTCAGGATTTAAACTAATTCAAATTTGTGGGTTTAATTAAGACAGATCTGTCCTCAGAGTCACCAGCGTCAAATACCACACTCTTATTCTATCCGGGTTTACTAACGGAGAGGTAACCTTGCGTTATCTCTGCTGCGATTTGTCAGCAAAAAGGACCTAAAGTGATGCTTGATTTTGTCTCAGAGTTTTCACAGGTACTTAGATAACTTTCAAAGTCTTTCGTAACCTGAGACTCTAAAGCTTTGCTGCGATGATGAGCTGGATCGAATTCCTGGGACATCTAGACCCTTTCCCAAGGGATGTGGCTCTGAAGCCCTGATTGATTACTGTACAGCTTCTTACTGCAGAGAAATTAAGGATATTTAAATCTGTTGGAGAACATGCTTTGTGCTTAACTTTTTCAATTTGTGCTTTAAATTTTAGATTCATAAATTTGCCATGTAGACACTTCTGGTTTAACAGCTTACCGCTGGTGACCAGTTACTTTTCACCCGAGACTAAGGTGTCTAAGACTAAAAGCTCTGCTAGATGGGGCGGGCGCCTAGGTCGCTCAGTCACTTGAGCATCGGATTGCGGCTGAGGTCATGACCGTGTGGTTCGTGGGTTCAAGCCCCGCATCGGGCTCACAGCTGTCGGCGCAGAGCCTGGAGCTGCTTCAGGATCCTCTGTCGTCCTCTGTCTCTGTCCCTCCCCCACTCATGGTCCTTCTCAAAAACAAATCTACATTTTTTTAAACAAATCTACATTATTTTTAAGTGCTGCTAAATGTAATTAAGCCTGATGGAAATGAGGTAAACAGGTCTGATGGAAAAAAAGGCGTAGGAGGCTTAGGAAGGAAAGTCTTTGGAAAGGAATTTTCTATGTGGTCAGGACTAAAGTTGAAATAAATGGATTTTTTATGTTTATTTATTTTGAGAGAGAGAGAGTGTCAGCACAGAGCCCGATGTGGGGTCCAAACCCACAAACTGTGAGATCATGACCTGAACAGAAATCAAGAGTCAGACGCTTAACCAAGTGAGCCACCTAGGCGCCCCGTGGTGAGTGGATTTTTTAAAGTACACTGGTACAGGGCGCCTGGGGGGCTCCGTCAGTGAAGCGTCCGACTTCGGCTGAGGTCACGATCTCACGGTTCGTGGGTTCGAGTCCCGCGTCGGGCTCTGTGCTGCCAGCTCGGAGCCTGGAGCTGCTTCGGATTCTGTGTCTCCCTCTCTCTGACCCTCCCCTGCTCATTCTCTGTCTCTCTCTCAAAATAAAATAAAGACATCTTTAAAAAGTTGTTTTAAAAGAATCTGTTCTTGGGGCGCCTGGGTGGCTTAGTCGGTTAAGCGTCCGACTTTCGCTCAGGTCATGATCTCGCAGTTCGTGGGTTCGAGCCCCGCGTCGGGCTCTGTGCTGACTGCCAGCTCAGAGCCTGGAGCCTATTTCAGAGTCTGTGTCTCCCTCTCTCTCTGACCCTCCCCTGCTCGCGCTGTCTCTCTCTCTCTCTCTCTCTCTCTCCTAGAAATAAATAAAAATATTTAAAAAAAAAAAAAAAGAATCTGTTCTTGTAACAGGACGCCATTGGAACAGTGGTTATTTTACCAAGGCTTTAACGGAACATCCTATTTGCAAGTGACCTGCGTGGGCTCAGATGTGAGCAGGCAGCTCTAAGGAACCGAGGCTGTGCGGACAGGGTTCCCAGCAGCCTCCCCAGGTGAGGACAGGTCAACTTTCCTACCTTCTGAGGAAGGGAAACCGGATCATGACTCTGGGGTGACCGACAGAGCCCTCGAGCGCCGCCCAGACCTGTGTGACCCGGCCTTGCAGAGCCCAGACCTGGGCACACGTGGAAAATCTACAGAGAGGGGCCTCCCCGCCGTGCCAGGAAGACCATGGAAACAGGGAGGGACACGATGTTTCTGCCGTTTTGAGAGGGCCCCCATCTCCTTAGGGCCCCTGTACGCCCCTTCTCACCAGGGGGACTCAGTTTAGGTCAAAGACCGGAGAAAGCCCCCCTGAGACCACAGAGGTCGGGGCCCCATACGGACAGCGCTCCGTGGGTCCACCGCCGCAGGCCCGTGCTGAGGAGCCCCCGCCTTGGAAGACTGACCCGAGTCCGACCGCCAGCGCTGCTCCAGCCACACCCCGGGACTGGCTGGCGTTCGCGCCGGACCCTTGAGGAGTCGCTGGTCCGAGAACATGGACTGTCCTTACTCCGGGCCACTGGGGGGCAGAGGCTGGCGAAGCAGCGAAAGGTTCCTGTTTGCAGGCACCTTCCTCGTCCGCACAGGATGCTCCCTACGTCCCGATCGCCCCTAACCTGGGCCCGCTTCTAAGAGCGGGGCACCTTCAGCGGAGGAATCGGGGGGGCGGGGGGAGCTCAAAGCTGGCGGAACGTCCCTCGGTCTGGTGGCGAGCCTGCCACTCAGGTGGGTGAGGCCCTCTGCGGGGCAGTGTTTGCACTAAAACGCTGCTGCTTAGATTCAGCTTCAGGTTCAGGCTAAAGGAGCGCAGCGTCGCTACCCATCGGCCTCGGGGCGGGAACAGCCAGGGGACACGGAGGCACAGGCTCTTCCGCGGGACTACCGAGCGGCCGAGTCCCTAGCGCCCCCGCAGAGGCAAACAAGAAGCCGTCCCAACCTGGCGGCCCAGACCTCCTCCGGCCAGGAAAGGGGGCGCCTCGGCCTCCCTGGAGAAGAGAGCCCTTAGCAGGCAGGCAGGCAGTCCCGGCGACGCCGGGGAGCGGGAGGAAGCAGCCGTAATAAGACGCCGCCCTCGGGCACAGCCGAGGTCCGAGGGGCGTCAAAGGCGGGGTGACGGGGGAAACCCGCTCTGAGAGGGCGGGACGATAGATAGGGGATCCGTCCCTGATGGAAGGCTCCCCCCCCCCCCCCCCCCCCCCCCCCCCCCCCCCGGGCTCTCCTTCCCACCTGCCCGTCCGCACCACCGAGGAGAGGAGTGCAGAGTAGCGGACTGTAAACCGCTCCCCTGCTGGGGCTGGGGGCTCAGACCTGGGGAGCGTGGACTCCTCGGAACCCCCCGCCCCCCCGTCGTGGGGAACAACCCTCCCGCCTTCCAACATCTCTGGGCTCTTCCCGCTGATGGAGACCAGATTCCACCACAGGAGGGGCCGCCACCCAGCAGGAGGGGCCACGGAAGACGCCGCGTCAGAGGCTGCAGTGTGAGAACCGCTCAGGGGTGTGTGGGGCGGAAACGCAGACTAAGCTCCCTCGTCACCTGCACTTGACAAACACCGACGCCCTCTCGTAGGCTCGGGCTTCGCCTCAGGGGAGGTGACAGCAGCCGGGCGCCCCTGCAAGCCCTTCTGGGACGTTGCTCCCCCAGCCCCACCCCCCCCCCAAGGAGTGGTCCCAGTCAGCACCCAGGCAGCCGCCCGCCCCTCCCGCCGCAACACAACCGCCCGTGTGCACCCAAGTCTTCCCTGGCATCGGCTCAGAACCGCAGCGCTGCAAACCGCGTCGTGTGCGTGGGCTCGTCCGTACCCAGTGCACACGCACACGCAGCCACGCACACACACGCACACACACGTGCTCCTGCGTGTCAGGTACGCGCACACCAGACAGTGACTTGTGAACTTCCCCAAACGGCAACAGCAGGGGCAGAGCTGTGAGGGGCGGGTGGGGCCCCGCTCACCTGGGCGGCCACAGCTCTGCATGCGCTCCAGGTACCGGACCAGCTCCTGCGGCTTCACCTGGTCCCCCCACCAGTAGGGGACCCCGGGCCACAGCTCCCGGTGCCGGCCCACGACGCTGGCCTCCTCGTAGGACAGGATGACCTGCTGGCGTCGCGTCCACAGCTGGTTCAGCGTCGGGACCTCCTGCAGAGGGCGGACGATGGGCAGAGTGAGAGACTGATGGTGGGGGACCGGGCGTGAGACAGACTGATGGTGGGGGACCGCGCGTGAGACAGACTGATGGTGGGGAACCCGGTGTGAGACAGACTGATGGTGGGGGACTGGGTGTGAGAGACTGATGGTGGGGGACCATGCGTGAGACAGGCTGATGGTGGGGGACCGGGCGTGAGAGAGGCTGATGGTGGGGGACCGGGCGTGAGAGAGACTGATGGTGGGGGACCGGGCGTGAGAGAGACTGATGGTGGGGGACCGCGCGTGAGACAGACTGATGGTGGGGGACCGGGCGTGAGACAGACTGATGGTGGGGAACCCGGTGTGAGACAGACTGATGGTGGGGGACTGGGTGTGAGAGACTGATGGTGGGGGACCATGCGTGAGACAGGCTGATGGTGGGGGACCGGGCGTGAGAGAGGCTGATGGTGGGGGACCGGGCGTGAGAGAGACTGATGGTGGGGGACCGGGCGTGAGAGAGACTGATGGTGGGGGACCGCGCGTGAGACAGACTGATGGTGGGGGACCGCGCGTGAGAGAGACTGATGGTGGGGGACCGCGCGTGAGACAGACTGATGGTGGGGGACCGCGCGTGAGACAGACTGATGGTGGGGGACCGCGCGTGAGAGAGACTGATGGTGGGGGAACGGGCGTGAGAGAGGCTGATGGTGGGGGACCGGGCGTGAGAGAGGCTGATGGTGGGGGAACGGGCGTGAGAGAGACTGTAGGTGGGGGACCGCGCGTGAGACAGACTGATGGTGGGGGACCGCGCGTGAGACAGACTGATGGTGGGGGACCGCGCGTGAGAGAGACTGATGGTGGGGGAACGGGCGTGAGAGAGGCTGATGGTGGGGGACCGGGCGTGAGAGAGGCTGATGGTGGGGGAACGGGCGTGAGAGAGACTGTAGGTGGGGGACCGCGCGTGAGACAGACTGATGGTGGGGGACCGCGCGTGAGACAGACTGATGGTGGGGGACCGCGCGTGAGAGAGACTGATGGTGGGGGAACGGGCGTGAGAGAGGCTGATGGTGGGGGACCGGGCGTGAGAGAGGCTGATGGTGGGGGAACGGGCGTGAGAGAGACTGTAGGTGGGGGACCGCGCGTGAGACAGACTGATGGTGGGGGACCGCGCGTGAGACAGACTGATGGTGGGGGACCGCGCGTGAGAGAGACTGATGGTGGGGGACCGCGCGTGAGAGAGACTGATGGTGGGGGAACGGGCGTGAGAGAGGCTGATGGTGGGGGACCGGGCGTGAGAGAGGCTGATGGTGGGGGAACGGGCGTGAGAGAGACTGTAGGTGGGGGACCGCGCGTGAGACAGACTGATGGTGGGGGACCGCGCGTGAGACAGACTGATGGTGGGGGACCGCGCGTGAGACAGACTGATGGTAGGGGACCGCGCGTGAGAGAGACTGATGGTGGGGGACCGCGCGTGAGAGAGACTGTAGGTGGGGGACCGGGTGTGAGAGAGACTGATGGTGGGAGACCGGGTGTGAGAGAGACTGATGGTGGAGGATCAGGTGAGAGAGACTGATGGTGAGGGACCGAGTGTGAGAGAGACTGATGGTGGGGGACCGGGTGTGAGAGAGACTGATGGTGGGGGACCGAGTGTGAGAGACTGATGGTGGGGGATCGGGTGTGTGACAGACTGATGGTGGGGATCAGGTGTCTGAGAGACTGATGGTGGCGGATCGGGGCATCTGAGAGTGACAGTGGTCAGTTAGGGTTTCTGAGCGGCGCAGGTCAGCCGTCATTGCCTGTAGAGGGACATGAGGGAGGTCGAGTATCACCTACGACTACCCTTGGCCTCTGGAATCCCGGCAACCGGGGACACTAGTGTTACCAACAGCACCCTGAGCTCACAGTGACGCCCCGAGACCACAGCCCTCGAATAGCAAGGTGCGTAAGGAAGGGCACGCACGTGTCACTACTAGGACCAGTGGTCAAAGGAGCAGGGAGTTTGCACGCGGACTTCCCACCCTGTTCTGTCTCCCTCTGTGACGTCCCCCGGGGACTCAGCCTGGCAGCGTGACCCCACGGCAGCCGCCCCCGCCACCTTCCCCAGGAGCCCCGAGCTCCTGGATGCCTGGGTCACCGCAGCCTCACTGCCTATGTTTTGGCCGCAAACCAGGCTCATAGGACATATTTGGAGAAATGCCCCACAAAGTGACGTAAAATGGACCCGAATGGACGTGGGGTTAGCTCTTCAGCTTCCCGGAGACCCAGGGAGGACACGCCAGCCATCGCCGGCAGCGGGCACAAATAATCTGGATAATACAGGTCGGGTCGTGTTGTGAGCCCAACCGTGTCCCCTCCGAATTCTTAAGTTGAAGTCCTCACCCTGATACCCCAGAACATGACTGTATTTGGGGGCGGGCGTCTGTAAGTAGATGATGAAGGTGAAATCAGGCCACTAGGACGAGCCCCGATCCGACAGAAGGGGAGAAGAGCAGGTAAGAACACAGACGCAGAAGGACGACCACGCGAGGGTGCAGGTGGAAGACGGGGTTACACGTCCAGGAGGGGCCTCAGGAGGGACCAGCCTCGTCCCCACCCGGACCCCAGGCCGCCAGCATCGTCCCCGCCCGCCAGGACCCCGGGCCCCCAGTCTGTTTCCCGCCCGGACCCCAAGCCCCGGACTGCGTAGCAGCTATAGGGCATCAGGGCACACAGCCGATACTCAGGGCATCACACACCATGGCAAGTTCACCAGGCGTGAAGTGTGACGGAAGGTGCAGGAGAATGGGCCCTGCTGTTCCCCCCAGCACCCCCTGCCACCGGGCCACACCGTGGGGGGCAGGGACCTTTCTCCTTCGGGGCGTCAGGAAGAGCACCCCGCCCCAGCAGCAGGATTATGTCAGCATCACGCACAGCAGAACCAAGCAGCCTGGTCTCCAACCATAACCCTGCCCCCCGACGTGCGCCCCCGGGCCCTTCTTACCCCTCGGGGACACAGCATGTCCCCAAAGATGTTCCGGATACAGGTCACCAGGTACTCATGCAGCTCGTCCGTCATGCCCTCGAAGTCCCTGCAGGCCAGGATGACCACTTCCCGGGGGTGGCTCTCCAGCCACTCGGAGATCTCGGTGAGTGTGTCCTGCACAGCGGGAGGGGCTCAGGCCGACAGTCCCCAGAGACGGCAGGAAGCCGGGGCACCCCACAGGCCCAAGGGCCTTCCGCAAACAGAACCCACTGGGCAAACGGGCCCCGGTCCTGTGCAGAGACCAAACGCAGCCTCGCCAAGCTGCAGCTGGGCCGTCGGCACTGCTCTGGGGGCAGAAGCATACGCCTGGGTGTGCGTGTGTCTGTGTGAGCACACGTGTGCACGATCGCTGCAGAGGACCCGTGTGTGCAAACATGTGAGCACGTGTGTGCACGCTCACTGCAGAGGGCAACATGTGTACAAAGGTGTGTGCAAGCTCACTGCAGAGAGCACCGCGTGTGCAAAGGTGTGCGCAAGCACTGTGCACGCTCACTGCAGAGGGCACGTGTGCGCGAACGTGTGGACTCTGGCAGTGTCAGGGAACAGCAGAGGCCGGCAGGTGGCCCCGCCCCCCGGGTTCTGGAGGGCACTGGGGTCGCGGGGCGCAGGGCGCGGGCGGAGCGCGACGGTGACTCTCGTGTTCGGACCTGAGAGCCCGTGGGTTTAGCGGGAGGACACGGGGCTGAACGCGTCCGTCCCGACGGCAGGAGGACCAGGGGCCCAAGCTCGCAAACCCAGGAGGAGGGTGCGCACCGCAGATCGCTGGGGCCGAGGAGGGGCCTCCGGCCCTGCACCCCGCCCCCCCCCCGCCTCCTCCCGCTCATCTCCCACGCCCTGCCCCAGCCCTCCCACCCCCTCAGCCCCCTCCCCCTCCCCCGCCCCCGCCCCCGCCCGCAGCACCTCCACCAGCGCCGTCGTGTACACCATGTGCACGAAGTGCAGGTTCTTCTCCGAGCCCCCCAGCACGTGCGCCACCCGCAGGTCCAGGTACCGCACGCCTGCGTCCAGCTGCTCCGTGACACCCAGCACCTGTGGACACAGCTCCGTCGTCTCTGCTGTGGACCCTGGGGTCCCCGCCTCTGCCCACCTCCGGGGACCACGGGGCCGCCGTGCCGGGGCTCAGGTGGGCTGGAGAGGCCCAGCCCGGGGCCACGTCTGAGGTGGAATCAGTAGCTATGGTGCCAGCTGGGGCTCCGCAAGCCGCCGGCCTGGCACCAGGGAACGTGGCCTCCTGGGGACGCTGGGGACGCTGGGCACGTAGAGCCGCAGGCAGCGCCCGGGAGGCCCTGTCCCTGTGGCCAACGTCCCCTCGGCCCTGACCCGCCTCCGGACATCCCTGCAGGGTCCCGCCTCCCCGCCTCCAGGCCGGTCACCAGGAAGGAACCCTCTCGGGCCTCGGCCACCCTGAACCAGGCTTCGGGTGCCCCCCCCCCAGGTCAGGGTGCGCAAGGAGGGTCAGCGGGAGGTCAGGGTGCGCGAGGAGGGTCAGCGGGAGAGAGCACCGCCCCCACCCCACACACAGCACCAGGACAGGCAGGAAGGGATCCTGAGGACGTAAAGGAGGAAAAGGCTGTGCCCTCGCACACAACGTGATAACGGAAGCAGCCAGAACCAACATGAGAGTGGTTGTTACACCCTGAGCGGCCCTGCAGGGAGTGAGCGCCCTCCCGTGAGCCCCTGCGGGAGCAGTAGGGCACGCAGCTTCAGGAGACTTCCTAGAGGCTTTCGTGCGCGGCGGGGCCCACTGTGTGCACGGCGGCTGGGGCCCAGCCAGGCGTGCCCTCCCCACCCTGGGGGGACCCACCTGGGAGGGGCCTTGGTGCCCAAGGTTGGCCCTGGCTCAGGGACCCCAAGCTCTCTGGGGACACAGACTCCGGGGACAGGAAATCACCCAGCTGCCTACCCCCGGGGGCGTGGGCGGCCGTGCACAGGCTTGTGCAATGGGCGGAGGTTGTGGATGGAGGGACCGAGGAATGTGAACATTTTCTCCGTAAACCATCCCTTCACGCACTTACGGTGCATCTTCAGTACGTAAACACGCTCTCGTGATTTTACTGCTTGTAAAACCGCGGGGCCTGAAGAGGTATCTCCAGGGCGGACCTCCGCTCAGGCCTGGGGACGCAGGCGGTCCAAGAACAAGGGTAGGTTGGGGTTCCTGCCCCCCTCCCCCCCTACCGTGTGTGAGCCACAAAACTAACAGAGGCCACCCCCGGGCTGTCTTCCCGAACAGCCTGCATCAGCAGCGCCGTGGGGAATAGGATGTTGTGCAGAAAAGTCAGCGTCTGCACAGCTTCCTGGGGTGTGGGCACCCCGACCCCCTGCACAGCTTCCCAGGGTGTGGGCACCCCAACACCCGCACTGCCTCCTGGGGCTGGTGCTTAGGACAAGCCTTCCTGGGGTTTCCTCCACACGCTTCCCTGCAGGCACCCAGGGTTTTCAACAGCGTGCCCCCACCCCCACCCCATAGACCTCCTCATGGCCCCCAGCACCACGGGGGGCCAGCACTGAGAGGCCCCAGCACCGTGGGACCCCAGCACCGAGAGACCCCAGCACCGCTGGGCCCCAGCAGGGCAGGACCCCATCTCGGGCAGCGCTGAGCCCGCTGGCCCCTCCTGCAGGGCTCCGCGGACACTCTCAGGCCTGCGCAGGCACCTCACACGAGTGGGGAATGTGGTGTCTCCACATTCCAGACGGGCAGGTCCCCAGAGGGCGTCCGGCTGCCCTGCCCTCGTGACTGGAATTCCAGCAGCAGCTCAGCGCTCAGACAGCACAGAGCCCAGCCCTGCGGCCTCAACAACCACTGCGGCTCCAGTGCACACGCGTGCCAGGGAGAACTCGCAACCCCGAGCCCCCACGGGTGGAGGTGGGGGTGGGCTGCTCCCCAGCGGGCCCCCGCGGTGACTCTCCGCACGCACTGTGTGATGCTGCGCAAGTGACAGCCATACACACACCTGCCACCCCCCCAGTCTGCCCTCCCCACCCTCACCGGGACGCCCCTGGTCACCCTGACTCTGCCCTCCACGCCCTTACCCCACAAAGTCACCCTGAGCTTCCTCTCCATGCTCACCCCACCCCAGGACGCCCCGCCCCCAGTGTTCACAATGCCTGCTGACCCCAGGGGGGGGCGGGGAGAGGCCTGGCAAGGAGGATGGAGCAAACCCAAAGCAGAAAGGAGAGGTGATCTCCTCCCAGAACCCAGGACCTACGGCCCTTCCGGGCCCTTCCCTGAGCTTTCTCTGCAGAAACGCATCACGGTGCCTTCCCTCTCCTCTCCCACGAACATGTGCTCATCTCTAAGCAGGCCTGCGGACAGGTGCACGGCCCGAGGAGGTCCCAGATCCAGGGGCTCTGAGCTGTGACGGTGAGCGCCTGGCACCTCTCACAAAGACGGAGGTGTGGGTTGTTTATGGAACCGTGTCCCCACCACCACCCGCCAGCGATAAGAGCACTCTCCCCGCGAGATGGCGCTGGTTGACTGACCCCAGGGTCCTGCGGACCCTCACCTGGGTGGTGGATCTGAGCCCGGGGGACCCTCACCTGGGTGGTGGACCACTTGAGCACCATGGGGCGTGTGATGCAGGGCAGGACCTTGCCCAGAAGCTGCAGCAGACGGGACTCGTTCTGGGAAATGGGCGACTTCTTGCTCAAGCAGTACGTCATGGTGTCGTGGCTCCCTGCAAGCAAAGCCAGGGGACTTTTCAGCCGGAGCCTCCTCTACTGCACCCTCAGCATCGGGCGGTGGGTGTGCCCACCCTGCACATGGGACCTGAGCAGATACAGGGTCGTCCCGGACCAGGTCTTCGGGGACCTGCCCGTGCACACTGTGCCCTCACCCAACACGGCCAGCAACGCTCTCCCCTGGCCTGAAGCAACAGCCCCATAACCCTGCACATAGAGGTTCGCTGAAGAAAGAAGAGCCAGAAAGGGGACGTTTCCTGCGGGTGCTAAGTGCGCAGCTGCGTCGGGACCTTCCGCATACACGGGTGACGCTGTCAGGGTACTGAGACCCAGAGTACTGGTCCACAGGCCAGCGACCTGGACGCCGGGTTGGGGTGCAGGTCGGCGACCTAGAGGCCGGGCTGGGGTGCAGGTCGGCGACCTAGAGGCCGGGTTCGGATGCGGACGCACCTTTATGAACTGAAGGCGTAAGAAAGGCGGCGTCTGCTCCCGGGACGAGAGTCCACCCGAAATCAGGGGCCGTTTCCGGGCCCTACGTCCCGTGCAGCGCAACCCACGACGTTCACGGATTGAAGCGGGAAAAGAAGCCACTGTGTCTACACGTATCAGTAACCCTGAGTGACGACAGTCCCCAACGCACACGTAGGAACGGAAAGGCGAACCGGGCTGGCCTCGTAAGGAAGAATGAACTTTTCCTTTATGTAGAAACCTCAGAGTTACAGGGAAACAGCGCAGGAACGGACGGTGCCCGACGTGCCCGTGTTCAGTAACTGGACGTCCCCAGGACACACTCCTCCTAACAGCCACGTGGCAGAGACGCTCTGGCCGAAGCCCCACCCCCGGGGATGCCCCGCCCCGCACGGAAGAAGGGAATTCGCAGACTTTAGGTTACGGGTATTGACAGAGATTTTCTCTCCAGGAAGACGCTGGGTGGTCCCAGTGGCCTCGGGGGGCCTTGCAAGAGGAAGCCGGCCGGGAAGAAGCGGTCACTGGCTTCCAGGTGGAGGAAAGGGGCGCTGGAGGCAGCAGACAAAAGAGAAAGGATTCTCCCAGGAGCTTCTAGAAGGAGTCGGCCCTGAGGGCACTGAAAGGTCACACCCGTGCGGATCTCTGGCCCCACAGCTGTGAGTTCACACACGCGTGCTGTTTGGAGCCACACAGATTGTGGCCCTTTGTTACAGCCGCCCCAGGACACCATCACAGCCACGTGGACGTGGCGCCTTGGGGACCAGGGGCCCTTTCCCCAGCAGTCTGGGGCGTGCCTGGATCTGCCCCGTAAGGGAGCTACCGTCCACACCCTCCCTAGGGCCACCTGGGGGCACGGAGGGGGAGGGGATGAGCCTGAAGGACCGGCAAGGCCATGGGCCCTCAGGGCGGGGAAGGGGGCCTTACCTCCCACAGCAATTCCCTGCTGTCCCCCAGAAACCCCCGGAAACCACCTCCCACAAGGAAAACGGCCCCTGGGCGGTGGGGAAACCCCAAGAGGCTCAGTCGCCCGAGGAGGGGAGTGCGGACAGAGTGACACTGCTCTCCCGCAGCAGGCGGTTTAGCCCGGGTTCCTGACACCGATGCTGACCGAGAAGGGGCGATGCTGACCGAGAAGGGGCGGCGGGGGAAGGGGCGGGGAGGGGGCCGGAGGGTCCTCTCATGCGTGGGACAGATTCAGCACGGTGGCCCACAGCAGCGGGTGGGCTCCCCTCCCACAACCGGGTCAACAGTCCAAGACTCAGTGACACAGAGCCACGTGCAAGTGAGTCAAGTCCCCAGGGTGGGCCTGGAGAAGCTGCTCCTGGAGGGGAGTGCTCAGTCCCGTGGCAGGGCTGGCTCACTGCTGGGAGTGCGTGGTCCCGTGGCAGGGGTGGCTCGCGGCTGGGAGTGCGCGGTCCCGTGGCAGGGGTGGCTCGCGGCTGGGAGTGCACGGTCCACACCAGGTCCTTGCTCCGGCCAGCCGGCATCTCCAGGTGCAGGAACGCAGTGCTCGGTCCTGACAGCTGAAGGGCCACCTTCAGAAGCTCGGCAGGTGCTGTTGGTGGGAAGGGGACCGGGCCCCATGCCACCAGGCCATCTCCCCCTCGTCCCGAGCTCGAGCCTCGCCCTGCTCACCGTGAGACCCACCCACGCAGAGCCGTGTGTGCAAGGCTGAACTTTGCAGCCTTGTTTTGCGACACCAGAGGCTCAGGAGTCCCAGATTCCTCGTGTGGACCATGCCATCCCCGAAGCACGCAGGGTCCCCTTGCCAGTCGGACCCACTTTGGGCCCTCCGGGCACCAAGCCCAGAAGCATCGTGGGGAAAGATGATTGCAGCCCTGAGGGGCTCGCGGGCTCCCTACAAGGAGGGACAGACTGGCGGGAGTGCATCAGCCCACATCCCTGTGCCGTCACATCTCCCCTAAGCCACAGTCCTCCAGACTGTGCGTGTGCCTGCCACATCCGAATGAAGGAGACAGAGGAGGGAACACGGTCACTCGGTACATGTGCGTGCATGTGGTGTGTGGGTTACTGTGTGTCTGTGTGTACACGCGCGTGCATGTGTGCTCCTGTGTGCACATGCATGTGTGCCTCTATTGTGCACGTGCGTGTGGTCTGTGTATCTGCGTGCGCTTGTGTGCATATGCGTGTGTGCCTCTTATGCATGTGGTGTGTGTGTACACGGTGTGCGCTTGTGTGCACATGCATGTGTGCCTCTATTGTGTGCGTGCATGTGGCGTGCGTACGGGCGTGTGCTTGTGTGCATATACATGTGTGCCTCTTATGCATGTGTGTGTACACACAGTGTGCGCTTGTGTGCACATGCATGTGTGCCTCTATTGTGCGCGTGCATGTGGCGTGCGTACGGGCGTGTGTTTGTGTGCATACGCGTGTGTGCCTCTATTGTGCGCGTGCATCTGTGTCTGCATTGCGTGCATGTGTGTGCATGCACGTGTCTGCATTTTGTGTGTGTGTGCATCCACGCGCGTGGTTGTGCGGTTTCCGCACACGCAGGCCGCGCCCCGGGGCACGCAGAAGCCCTCACCTGGGATGGAGAGGTGGTGCAGAGGCATGTCCCAGAGCAGCGGGTGCAGCGCCGACATCCAGTCTGCATTCGTGCCGCAGCGCTGGAGGCCGCTGGAAGCACTCACCTGTCCGCCCATCGGAGGCCACCCTTTGCGACCTGAGGGAGGAAGCGAAGTTTGGCAGAGGCTAACCCAGGGGCCCAGAGCCTCTTTCCAGGGGACGCTGGCGAAGCACGCGCCCTGCCTGCAGCGGTGCCCCTGCTCGGCCAGGCCCTGGTCCCTCCGACCCCACCCCCTACACCCCCCAACAGCCTTCCAGGTCTGCGGGCACCAGGCTGCAACCCTGGGGGGGTGCCTTGGGGGCCCAGGTCAGCACCCCCACCCTCTGCCTCCCTGGGCTGGGGTGTTGGGCTGTAGCGCAGGGACTCAAGGTCTGTCCCCAGCGAAGCCAGCGCTCCCGTAGAGGAGATGGGACGACGCCTGGAGGAGGGGAGGGGAGGGGTCTCAGGGTCCTTAACGAGGGCCTGGGCACTGCCCTCCGGCATCTGGGAGGTGACGAACACGCATGGGGTGTGATTTAGTCTCCGGATAAGCAGACAAGGCGGGCACAGGACACCCCACACAGGACGGGGTCCCAAAGACATGGCCGCTGTGGTCACGGGGGCCCTGCGTCCCTCTCATGCTAAAGCCACACGCACCCTTCCACGTGGCCCGGCCTCCTGCCGCCTTCGGCGGGGGACTGATGCGCGGAGGTGACGGTCCTGGGCGGAGCTGCGACCCGCCACCAGACTCCTGCGGGGCAGCCTCCTCCGTCTCCCTGGGTCCCCTGGGTCCCGGGATGTGCGCTGTGCGGAAGCGCAGCTGGCGTGAGAACCGGGCCAAGGTGACCGGGCGGCGTGTGGGCCACCACTCCAGCCCCCCAGAGCCACCCTCCGGGAGAGGTCCCTCCGGTCTGCACAGGCCTTTCCCTGGCAGGTCTGCAGCCCTTGGGGCGCTGTGTGCACAGTGACAGGGCCACACTTCGCCTCTCCGCAAAGAAGCCACTTTGCCCTAAGGATTATTTTCAGCTGAAGGAGAATGAGGAAAAGCAGAAACAAAAACTTCCCTCTTCATCTCGCCCAGCAAGCAGACCTAGGTTTCCCTCTGTGGAGCGACCACTCGTTCTCTGGACTCGGAAGAGGCTTATTCTTACGAAAGCACCCCCTGAGGTCAGCATAAGAACCTCAAGGAGTTACTGTGACCCTTCCTTAGCTTCTCACCTACTGTCCCCACAGCCCCAGCCCTCCCCAATTTACCCGGTCACAATTTACTCTCCCCGCAACCGACCCCGGGACAGCCCCGGGTGCGACGCACCCCGAGTCCCCTCCGTCGGGCCCCGGGACAGCCCCCGGTGCGCCCGCACCCCGAGTCCCCCGCGCTGAGCCCAGCCCCTCGAAAGCTGGACCGCCTCCGCCCTCTCTGATCACCTCAGGCAGGGCTCGGGGGAGCCCTGAGAAGGCGGGGGTGATTGCACAAAACGGGTGAGTGCACGTTTGCAGGCTCCCAGGGTCCGACCAGACACGGGGGCCTCCCACTTCTGCGCGTTCCGGGAGGTGGCTCCAACCCGACACGGAGCAGCCGCAGGTGGTGACTGGCGACAGTCACACTTAGGAAATAGCTCGTAGGTGAATAAACCGACTGACGTGCAGCCAGTACACCCGCCTGACATTCCGCCCCGTTCGCGGGGCTCCCCAAGGCTCCCCCACCTGCCTGTCGGCACGCAGGCCCTGCCCAGCCCCAGGGACCCGGGGTGACATCCGGGCACTGAGTCCTGCGCCCGCCGCAGAGCAGGGTCGGCGGACGCACCCGGCACGCGCCGCCCTCACGACCCCGGAGCCGCAGCCCCGGGTCCTGGCCTCGGCTCCGACCCCAGCGAGTTCCCGCGGACGCGGAGCCGGACTCGACCCTGCGGCGGCCCCTCCAGCTGCCCTTCGCCTCCGGTGCGGAGGGTGCGCCTCCCCGCCCGCGCCCCAGGCCAGGACCCCCCCCCCACACCCCTCCCCACCCCCGACGGCCGGGGCGCCCTCGGTCCTCGCCGGGACCCGCGATCCGCCCAGAGACGCTCACTGCCGCGTCCGCAGACGAACTTTCCGGGGGAGGCCCGCGCACAGGACGCCTCCCCGCCCGCGCCCCAGGCCGGGACCCCCGCCCGGATCCCCCGCCGCCCCCACCGGTCCCCACCGGTCCCCGCAGGGAGGGGGAGGCACTCACCGCGCGCAGCAGTCTCGCCCGCAGGCTTCCCGGCGGAGGCTCCCTCCCGCAGCCGCCGACACCCGAGCACTTCCTAAAACGCTCGGGCCGCGGCATTGGGCGCCGGAACACCCGCCCCGCGAGGAGGAGGGGCCGCCTCCCAGGCCGTCCCTCCCAGACGCGCGGGCCGGGCCGCCACCCGGGGCGAGAGCGGGACCCCTGAGGGGCGAGCACTGCCGGGAGGGGCGTCCACAGGTCCTCACAGCCCCGCGCTGCAGGGACCAGACCCTCACAGGGCGGGGAAGACGCCCCGAGGGGCCAGCGGGTCCGCCGTCAGGGGACGGGGCGACCTCCTGAGTGTGACCGTGGGGTCAGCGGTCAGGGGACAGGACGACGTACTGAGTGTGACCGCGGGGTCAGAGATCAGGGGACAGGGACAGGAGGGCGTCCTGAGTGTGACATGAGGTCAGTAGTCAGGGGACGGGGACAGGAAGACATCCTTAGTGTGACCCCAGGGTGAGGAGTCAGTGGTCAGGGGACAGGAGGGTGTCGGGAAGGCATCCTGACGGGGACCACGGGGTCAGTGGTCTGGGGGGGGCGGGGACAGGAGGGTGTCTTGAGTGTGACACGGGGTTAGTGGTCAGGGGGCAGGGACAGGAGGGTGTCCTGAATGTGACACGGGGTCAGTGGTCAGGGGATGGGGACAGGAAGACGTCTTAAGTGTGACCCCAGGGTGAGGAGTCAGTGGTCAGGGGACTGGAGGGTGTCGGGAAGGCATCCTGACGGGGACCATGGGGTCAGTGGCCAGGGGGGCGGGGACAGGCGGGTGTCCTGAGTGTGACACGGGTCAGCGGTCAGGGGGCGTGGACGGGAGGACGTCCTGAGAGGCTGACCGTGCTCTGGCTGCGGTCTGTTCCCGTCACCGTGGACCCCAGGGCCCGAGCACACGGGACTTGCGTCAGGGCCGGGATTGCATCACGTCGCGGCCGCCTGTGCCTGTGATCTCCGGGAACGCGCGTCTGCACACCGACCGCGGCCTCAAGTGTCCGGCCCTCTGGCCTGAGTGGCCCTCATCCCGTCCCGCCCGCCCAGGGTGCGTGGCCTCCCGGTGGAGGCGGATTCCCCGGCCGCGTGCTCACCTGCAGGCCCACGCACTGTGACGCCGACCCCGGGTGACCCGTCCTGCCCTGTCCACGCTCCAGTCCTCGCAGCGCGCAGCACAGGCGCCTTGTGCGGGGTCTGCCCCTGCCTGAGACCAGCCGGACCCCGGGCGGACGGGACGCACAAGCCTGTGGGGCGGAACCGCCCTCCGCCCTGCAGCCAGGACGCCCCCTGCGCCCCCTGTGCCCTCCCCCCAGAGCCCAGTCCCCCTGTGCCCTGTGCCCTCCACCCTGCAGCCAGGCCCCCTGCGCCCTCCCCCCAGAGCCCGGTGCGGAAACCCCTCCTTCCTCCCCCTCCTCTCCCTCTTCCTACTCCGCTCTCCTCCTGTCGACCCCCCTTCCTGTCTCTCCTCTCCCCTCCCCCTCCCTTCCCCTCCTCTCTCTCCGTTTCCGCCTCCATGGAGACCCAGCTCCTTGGCAGCTCCCTCTCTGCCCCGTGTCCCCCCCACAGCCCAGGGCCCCACGTGCAGCCTGTGACCCGGGACTCTGAGCCTCTGGGGCCTGGGCAGCGGCCCCCACTGGGTCCCCCCCCCGCCTGTGGCGCAGACCCTCCTCCCCCAGCCCCGCTCTCCTTCTGGCCTCAGCTGGGAAGACTTAGGGCGCCGAGCTGTCCAGACCCCCAGAACCTGGGGCGGACCGGACTCCAGGAGGCTGGCCGCTGGGCTCAGCACAGGGCACTGCCTGCCCTGCGCTGCCCGGTGCACGGGCACGCGGGCGGGACGTGTGACAAGGACGCCAGTGCTGCGGGCGCTGCAGAGGGAGCAGGGGCCGTGGGCTGCGGGACGCGGGAGACAGACAGGCCAGGGAGCCCGCACCTGCCCACACCCGACGCAGCCCAGGGGACCCGCGTCCAGCCCGCAGCCTCTGGGAGGTAAGGAACAGCACGCGCTGCTTGTAGAAATGGGATCAGCTGCCCCACGGCACCCTCCACCGCCTCCCTTCCCGCCGGCTCAGAGGCCACTTCCTCCACGCGGGCCTGCAGGCTGCAGCGAGACCAGAAGGGCACCCAGGCCTGGTCCAGTGGACCCTCACACCCTGCTGGGGCTGAAGCTATTTCTGTGTCATTCCTGCCTCCGGGAGTGAGGGCCGGGAGCCCGCATCCTGGGGCCCGGCCCTCCGTGCACTGTGTGTGCCCCCACTGGGAGCGGCATGCGTGCGGGGAGCCCCCACAGGGCGTCCCGTGTGAAGGGGCCCTGCTGCCCGGACACTGGGCACCTTGTAACGGAACCCTCCTGGGCGGCTCCTCACGGGGAAGTGACTGGCTAAGGCAACCCTTCAGGGGTCGAGGGCATCACCGCGCGGTGCCACCACCCCTGTGTGGTTCCTGGGCAGGGTTGTCACCCGAAGGACGCCCAGCATGACCAGTCATGCCCCGTCCCCTCCTGCCGAGCCCCGGGCACACAGCACATCCCTCTCTGCACAGAACTCCGTGTCGGGGACGCCATGCAAGGGGCCTGCCCGCCTGGCCTCCGAGCCCAGACACCACCGTGGACGCCCCTGCACCTGACGCCCCTGCACCTGACGCCCCTCCCCGACCCCACCGTGGGCGCCCCTGCACCTGACATCCCCCCCTGACCCCACTGTGGACGCCACTGCCCCTGATGCCCCTGCACCTGACGCCCCTCCCCGACCCCACCACGGACACCCCTGCACCTGACACCCCTGCACCTGACGCCCCTCCCTGTCCCCACTGTGGACGCCCCTGCACCCGATGTCCCTGCCCCTGATGCCCCTGCACCTGACGTCCCTCCCTGTCCCCACCGTGGACGCCCCTGCACCTGACGCCCCTTCCCCTGACGCCCCTGCAGCTGACGTCCCTCCTCGACCCCACTGTGGACGCCCCTGCACCCTGATGCCCCTGCGCCCTGACGCCTCTGCACCTGACGTCCCTCCCTGTCCCCACCATGGACGCCCCTGCACCCTGATGCCCTTGCACCTGACGTCCCGACCCGACCCGACCATGGACGTCCCTGCACCTGATGCCCCTGCACCTGACACCCCTGCCCCTGACGCCCCTGCCCCTGACGCCCCTGCCCCTGACGTCCCTCCCCGACCCCACTGTGGACGCCCCTGCACCTGATGTCCCTGCACCTGATGCCCCTGCACCTGACATCCCAGCCCAGAGACCTGTGCCCACAGCGGGGACACAGGTAGGGTCACACGAAGAGTGGTGCCCAGTGTGGACGCAGGGCTCACCCAGGTTGCAGTGACCCGTCCCCCTGAGGGGACGCCCCCACGCACACACCTCTGCTCCGCAGGACCCGCAGCCCGGGTGCCCTGTGTCTGCCCCTCCCCAAGAGATGACACCCTCAGAGAGTGTCTGGGACCCGCCCCTGCAGCCAGGTGAGGGACACAGGGTGACGGGGCCGCCGCAGGGCCCTGCCTGTGCAGCCCTGACCCCTGCAGGCGCAGAGGACGGCCGCGTGGGCCACGCACTGTGCCTGCAGTCGCCGCATGTGCGCTGGGGGCTCAAGGGTCACCTGCGGGGGCCCCGCTGGACAGCCCTGGGGCAGGAGCGCAGACCCCCTGTCCTCACAGAAGCACCCACACGTCCCAAAGTGACAGTATCAGAACCCGTCTGGACTCCCTCCTCCCATGTGGTGCGCACACACGTGCTCACACACTCACGTTCAGACACTGCACACACACGGCACACACGTGCACACACACGTTCAGACATGGCACACACACGCACACACATAGCACACACGTGCACACACTCGCACCCAGACACGGCACACACGTGCACACACACGTTCAGACATGGCACACACATGCACACACATAGCACACACGTGCACACACTCGCATTCAGACATGGCACACACAGTTGCGTTCAGACATGGCACACGTGTGCACACACACGACACATACGTGCACACACACTCGCGTTCAGACACGGCACACACCTGCACGCACCATCTGTTTCAGGTTCTGCCTCCTGTGTGACTAGAACTTGAAGTCTCACACGGTTGGGAAAATACAACCTGAAGTTTACCATCCAGTGTTGTGCTGTGACCTGTGCAGTCCAGAACGCTCCCAGTCACCACAAGCCATCCCACACATCGCTGTCCCTGCCCATCCCCCCAGGGCCACGAGCCCTGAGCCCCGTGCTCCCCACCCTGTGACTCCCCCCCACACCGAGCCCCCAGGCCCCAGCGCTGCAACCCCTCCCCCTCCATCTGCACTGCGTCCAGGATTCTCCTGAAGACCGCGTTGTGCCCATAGCGGACCCTCCCGGGGCGTAAAATCATCCACGTGGACACAAGACGCATCTCGGGGGCCAGGCCACCGTGAGTCTCCCTCGGGAAGTCTTCCTGCCGCTCGCACGCTTTCTGCCAAGGATACAACAAAGATCCCAGCTGCAACGCTGGTAAACAGGCGTTTGCTAATTCTACAGGTTTCTCAGCAGACACTCTTCCGTCCAGACTCTTCAGGTAACAACTTATCCCCGAATTCCTGCGAAGGACACTCGCAGCAGTGTTCCTGGACTTCAGCCCGATGGCCAGGGGCCCCGTTCCCCGGCTGCCAGGGATTCCAGAGCGTCCCGCCGGCAGATGCAGGGACCTGCTCGTGACCTCCTCACCCTGAGTCCTGTCCCCTGCCCCCCCTGCTCTCTGGGGTCTGTCCCTGTCCCCACTACACTCTGGGGTCTGTCCCTGTCCCCACTAACGCTGGGGTCTGTCCCTGTGTCCCCCCTGCTCTCTGGGGTCTGTCCCTGTCCCCACTGCTCTCTGGGGTCTGTCCCTGTCCCCCCTGCTCTCTGGGGTCTGTCTCTGCCCCCCCTGCTCTCTGGGGTCTGTCCCTGTCCCCCCTGCTCTCTGGGATCTGTCCCTGTCCCCCCTGCTCTCTGGGGTCTGTCCCTGTCCCCACTACACGCTGGGGCCTGTCCCCTGTGCCCTCTTGTGTCTCCTAGTGACTGTCCCACAGTTGCTACGT